TTGAAGAATTACACCCTTGTCCTTGCATTATCATTTGAGAGAGGTCCTGTTTCTCCCCAAAGCAGAACTGAAGTTCCAATTCCTTCAGGTTGCAGTGAGAGCTGCTCTGCTGTGTTCCTGTTCTCCTTAGTGCCTTTGTTGCTGCCAGCTTGCTTTAGATTATCTCATCAGTCTTTGTTTTGGAACATGAATGGCAATACTGATACAGTAAGAGTGGATACAAGGGACAAACTTGGTATCTCAAAATTAATGGAAATGGACTATAGAATAAGGAAGGGTGTAGAGATACAATTTTGCTTATGAAATATAAATACATTATGCCTTGCTGCGTTCCTGGTAGTCAGAAGAAAGGTTGCTGTTTTGATGGGCTTTTCCTGTAGACTAATTAGAGGAAAGCTTCTAGAGGAGGAAAGTATTTGTCAAGCTTTTGTTTGTTTAAACAACTAGCAGGGTAATCTGATAAGTGTTGGAATTTTAACTTTTCTGGATAGGAATATAATGGGATGAATAAGGTGCAGTTTCATGTTACTGGCTGGGTGTTGTGAAAAGTGATGAAGCTGCTTCTCAGACACCTTCTGTTGCTGGGCTGAGTGCTCCTGCATCCCTTTGACCCTGGGATTGTCTGACCACACGATGAGCCAGTGTAGGAAGCTAACCTGACAGAAAATTAACGGGGGGAGGAGGTGAGGGGTGGGCAAGCAGATTCTTCTTTTCTGGACGAACACTCTGAATAGCTTTAAAAGCAAATTTGGATGAGCATTAGTACAGGGTAGAGGGAATTAAGTTTGAGGAACAGTACCATCGTTCTTACAGGATCAATTTAGCATCACAGCACAACCAACTTCCAAAGTTGTATTTTTGGTAGCTTTTATGTCAGGCAGAGAAAGCAACTGAAGAAGAAGGCTTTTCTGGGTATGAGCTTAACTTATAGGTTGAAAGTAACTAAACATAAAAGTGGAAGGCAGTTTCAGTGAGTGTAAACTACCTTTAGTAAGTACGTGTTGTGAAACAGGGTATGTATGAAAGATCTAAGAGAAGCAAGGTGAGAGAGAGGGAGGGAAGAAACTGCTAGGTCTCCTGTGTTGTTCAGTAGCTTGGACTGAAATTTTGTAAGACAACTGCAGCTATTCCGATGTAGTTTCAATAGGAAGGTTACCTTAACACAGGAATCTGGATGCACCAAAAGTGGAAACCGGTTAATAGGAACAAATAATATGTGAACAATTAATATTTACGTGAAAGACTTACCTCAAAAGGAGGAACAAGGTGAGATCCATCTAGCAATGAATGAATATGCAGAAGAAGGGAATATTCTGTAAATATTTGTAGCAAGAGGAACTTTTCTTGATTGTATGTGATACTGAGATGGCTGAAATGTTTATCTGCCACAGCTTTTCATGAGTCTTAATTATTTTTTTTTTTTTCCCTTGATATTTTTAAAAAGACATTTTTTAATTTAGTGATGCAGCTAAGACAGTTTAATGGCTAGTTGGTACCAAAGGGGATCATCTATCTCTTTGTTTCCCCATTGCCTCCCCTGCCCCTTGGCAGTTCAGAGAGCTAATTTGTCAGAAGACTAATTGTTTCTAATTGGTTTTACGGAGAAAAACAGGAGAGATGGCTTTCTGTGAATTTGGTTCCCTAAGCTGTCATCATAGGTTCAGTCTGGCAGAAGGCAGCGGTAATACGGAGAATAAGGGGCACAAGACTGCCCCTTGTGGTGGTAGCTAACTGTTAGGCGAGTTTTCTTCTAACGTGACAAATTACAGCCTTTGAGCTTGACTAATCCACCTAAAATTCATGCTAGGAATTTAAAGAAAGTCTGAAGTAAATTCTAAAATAGCTGTGAAATTCTGAGGGACAGATGATGTCCCAGAGGAGAAGGGAAAAAGGCACTGCAACTGTGCTTCTTAAAGAAAAAAAAAAAACAAACTAGCCAAAACCCACAACAGAAAACCCACAAAAAAAACCCCAAACCAAAACCCCGTAACAGCCTTTGAAAAGGTGGGAGCCAGAGGCTTACAAACAAGCTATCTTATCTATTCCTGGAGGAATATGGATAATGTAAATTATTAGGCCCCAGTAATCGCCTGGAAGATACTAATCTCTTTGTGAACAACTAATACGAGTTTTTCAAGAGCAAACCCCAGTTAATCTGGTTTTAACTTTTTTCTGTGGCAGGGTGAGGGACCTAACGGATAGTTGCATCTTGACTTTTAAAAAAGGCAGTGAACAGAAACAGTGTTATAGAAACTTGTACAGTGGCAATATATCTGATTAGAAAACTATCTCTGGAAATGGATGAAGAACCAAAGTGAAAAGATTTGTTAAATTTCTGAAGAGGTCCGTCTTTAAGTGTGCCTTTTAGTATTTTCAGGAGTGACTTGGACTACAGCATCTACATGCTAAATCAAGATAACATGAAGGGTGACCAACATGTTTGATTAGGATTTGGAATTCAAAATAATTCTGACAAACTGAGGAAACCACTGCATTTTTAATGGAAGGCTAAAGTTTCGGTTGAATGATGTGTAGCATTTGGGTGGGAGTAATCAGCTGTGCAATCACAGTGGAGAATGACTGCAGAATAGAAACTGTAAACTGTAGTAGGTGAGTTAATTGTAGATACTTAACACTTTTTCATGTTAAAAATGGGTGTTTCCAGAGTTACCAGTTGCACCTGATTGTATGTATATATGCGCACACACACACATATATATAGGAGAGAGAGAGAGATGTGCTGAGCCACCAGCTGAGATGTTGAAGTTGGGGGCACAGTTGCTGTTGCTGATTTCTGTCCAAGTAGTGAGAACTTGGTGTGTGGGGTGTAAAGAGAAGATTGCCTTGTCTGCTTTTTTTTGTTTATGTAGTAGTGTCTCTTGTGATGAATTGAAACAGATGTGAACAGCAGATGAGTTTACCTGTTTCAGTGGAGGAACAGTTCCTTTCACAATTTGCGGGTCTGCTAATACTCCCTTGCTCAAGTACTGAGTATTTTTGTAATTGGGATGAAAGTTGGGCAAAACTACGATTTATGCTTCTGTTTCAAGAATATTGTTGAGAATTATTTAAATACTTGTTACTGAAATCTGTTAGGAAATCAGTATAGACTATTGGTACTAACTAGCAGTGCCCACTTCCATATCTGAGATGGATCAGGGAAATTGAAAACTTAATTCAGTATCTTAACCCCCTTTTCCTGAAACAAAGCAATTTTTTTGTGTTTAAAAACACAAGTTGGGAAAAATGCACCAGGAATCGTTCATATGATTATAAAAGCAGTAAGCCTTTGCTGTTACTCAAAAGCCATTTGCTATTACTGTGTATCTGACATAGAATCCTACTATACTATATGGAAATAAAACTTAATTCCCTGTTCTGCAACAGTTTCAGCCATTGGGACAAAATCCTGAAGAATTATTACTGTTTACACGAATTTGAGGTGTCCAGCAGCAGTTCTTCTAAAAGCTAGGGGGAAAAAAAAATATTTTTATACCATGCCCAAGAAAGAATTTTAGCTGCCACATCTCCTAGGTGACCTATGTGTCTACGTTTAACAAATACTAGAGGATCAAAATCAGTCCAGTGAGTTTTACCTGTGACTGTGGTATGTCTTATTCTCAGGATCAGTCTCTTTTTGTGAAGAAAATTTTTAACAGGACAGATGTGAAAAAATATCTGCAGCTTGTTTGAAGGTTAAAATAGGCTAAAATCCCGTGAATCCCTGTAGCAGAATTATACCCTGAAGCAGGTTTTAGTTTGAAGCTGCATTAACTCTGCACTTTACAGTAAAGACTATTTTATAACTTCTTGGGTTTTTTTAAGTTTAGACAGGTGCTAATTGCCTTATTTGTACTGAAGAGTAGGTAGATTTAAGTCAGGCAAAGGTGTAATGAGATCATACGGATGAACACTGGTATGTTTTTACTTACATATTAAAAGCGGTTATCCCTGCCACCCTTTGCTGCAGTTCTTGTTTTGGGTATTTCAGCAATCTGGTTTATAGCATCTCACTGATAACTGTATTGGCACAACTGATGGACCACTGGTTTACTGAACACTTAGGAAGGAACATCTGAGTTTAGAAACTTAAGAAACCAGCTTTGGTACTTGGGGAAAAAATACCATGTTACACTGTCAGTAAACCACTTACATACATGCGCACATCTTGCTGTGTGGGTTTTTGTTGGTCGCTCTGTATGAACTCTGCTGATGCTACTTAACGGTCTTGGCAGCACCACAGGAAGGATGGAATGCATTTGAATAGTAGCATTAGAAAATTACTAGCATTCATAATGTTTCCAATCTGTTACTTGCATTGTAGTAACAGATACAAATGCCATCTACTTTTAAGCTTGAAAAACAGTTGCAGATTTCTAAAAGCTAGGTTTTCTCACCCTCATGGTTTATAGTTTAATAATAAACTTTATTTGACAGAGTAGGAGGGGGAGAATGAGGATAATAGAAAGCATTGCAATAAACAAGAATGTCTTTAGGAATCACTTCTCTGCATAAAAATAGTTGCTTCTCTTCATAGGCGATGATGGCAGGCCTTTCTGGTTTTCTGATATCACTGTCAGTAAATGGCTGTTGCAAATACAGAATAATACCAGAGTGAATATCTGTCTGCAGCTACTTGTTATAATCTGTATGTGTAATCAATCTTAAGTGTCTCTCCAGAAATATGTAAAGATGGATTTATGTGGCTTGGTGAGCCAAGAACATGCAACTTGACTTACTAAGTTTAGTAACTGAAGTGTGTGTGTTTATGTAAGAGGGAGAGCTCCACCTACTGGAAAAACCTTCCGGTTACGGAGTGCATTTTGAGTCGTGTGCAATACCGATTTTTTTTTTCTTTCTTTTTTTTTTTTTTTTTGTCTGGCTTCTGGGATTTGGAGTAAGAGTGTTTGCAAAGAAATAGAGTTCCTTCAACTTTAAAAAGTCTGAGCTCTGAAAATATTTTCTCAGATTTTCATCTTGACTTGTTTGGGTTTTAGGAACATCATCTCCAACGGGCTATCTCAGCACAACAAGTATATGGAGAGAAGAGGGATAACATGGTTATACCGGTTCCAGAAGCAGAAAGTAATATTGCGTACTATGAATCTATATATCCTGGAGAATTTAAAATGCCAAAGCAGCTGATTCACATACAGCGTAAGTAATTCAATTCATTTATTGATGTCTACAGCAATAACTTTAGTAGTTGAAGAGGTTACTCTTAAATGTCTATTGAGCTTTCATCAAGACAGTCTTCTCAGAATTAATTTTTTCCAACACTTAAAAGAATACATAATTCTTACTGAAGAGGTAGATTTAGTTCTTGATCAAGAAATAGATGTCCTTGAATCTGTGTCTATATGTTAATACTTTAAATTTAGCAATCTCAAAGACCTGTTTCTGTCCTCTATAATACTCAGTAGTTACAGCTTGTAGGGAAGTTTAGGTTTGTTAGCAAGGACAGACACAAATCTACTTGAAGAGGAGAATATATAATACATAGTTAAGAAATAGTACCTGTCCCCTGAAGCTTAACCAGCATAAGTTGCGGTAGAGTGGATTGGGAAGACAGGCAGAAATGGCGGTGGTAGTAGTAGTAGTAGTATTTGCCTGTGCCTGGATTTCTGCCTCTGAAAATAGGTGGGTTTTGCCATCACTGATAACTTGCAAATATGTTGGGATTTTGTTTTGGTTGGAAGACAGCAGCTCTTCTGTTTGGATGTGGCCCTGGATGTGAGCACTTCATTACTTCAGAGAACTTTTGAAAACATTATAAAAATATTATCTGTTGCAGAGTTCTGTTGCATGCTGTGATTAGTAGAATTTATAAAGTAGCATCTGTACTATGTAAACAGATCTCATGCCTAGTTAACTTTGGTTAAACGTTAGACTTCTGTGTCAGTCTGACCTTCAGTGATGGCCTAAAGTATTAGAGCATGCTGCTCCACTCCTAGGCAAATGGAGAGACTAATACTGGCAGTCTTCCGTTCTGATGCTAAGGTTATGCTTTTTCATTCTTTTCCTTATCTAGTGGTCTAAGAGCTGAAATGGTGATTTTTTTTTTTTTTCCAGCTGTATTTTACCTATTTATATATTAAGTGAATCTTTTCACAATGTATTTCCAGGTATGCACTGGGGAAGAATTATTAATCTGTTACAGACTTGAATGAGGCATGAGAACTACGGAGATCTTATTTTGAATGCAGAATGCTGCATTTTCATAGGCTATTGTGGAAAACAGAACAGTTGTTTGCGTTCTGTAAAACATTACTTGTGTTTGAAGATGCCCTGCTTACCTAGGGTAGACCCTGCTGGGCCACTTCAGGCTGGCTGATCTACATCACAAAAATAATTGATGAGAATATGTGTAAGGTCATTGTAATACAGTCTGCACACACTTTGGTAGAAATACCTTTAACGCGTGCTTGGGCTGAAGTCTCAACTGTTGACAATACAATCCATAAAACTGCAGAATGCTAGACGGCATTGAAAATTTTGACCAATGTAAAAATTTCTTCCTGAAAGCAATGAGGTAGAAAGCTGCTAGCTGGCATGACTGCCAGTTTCATGGGTTAACAAAAGCATAGCCAAATAGATAGGAATTTTTATTCCTGATTTTTAATGGTGTAATTTTTTTCAAGAAAAAAATAGACGTAACTTCAAAGTAGTGTTACTACAACATTCAAAAAAAATAGTTTTGGTTTGTCTTCAGAAGAATCTGGTTATGTACTCCAGACACTGTTATGAGAACAAAACATTTCTGTAGTAAAACTAACTTTAACTTTCACTGTTACCATTTAGCTTTTAGTTTGGATGCTGAACAGCCGGATTATGACTTGGATTCAGAAGATGAGATCTTTGTGAATAAGTTGAAGAAAAGAATGGACATCTCTCCTTTGCAATTTGAGGAGATGATAGACAGACTAGAAAAGGGCAGTGGTCAGCAGGTACAGTGGTACTTTGAATAAAGAGTTTGAAATACATACTCTGTGTATTGCTATATGAAAGTGACATGCTGTGTTTTACATTTAGCCAGTCAGCCTGCAAGAGGCCAAGCTGTTGCTGAAGGAGGATGATGAATTGATTAGAGAAGTGTATGAGTACTGGATTAAAAAGAGGAAAAACTGTCGAGGTCCCTCTCTTATTCCAGCAGTGAAACAAGAGAAGCGAGATGGCTCCAGCACAAATGATCCCTACGTTGCTTTTAGAAGACGAACAGAAAAGATGCAGACACGAAAAGTAAGTAGATCAGTGCTTCCCTTAGCTTTCTTTCTCTTCTTTCTCCCCCTCTCTAAAAGTAGCTTATATAAAGAAACAATTCTGCTATGTAGTATAAAATAATAACATTTGGGGTGTTCTTTTGTTTTAATTTGCAAGGGTAAAAACGTAAAAGAAACTACTTTAGGACAGCTATTGAACAGAAGTCTCTATTTTTTCACTAAATCTACTGCTAAACCTACTTAAGGTGTTGGTAAGCTGTAGCTCATTGATAACTTGTTTTTTTATATAGCTGTATTTTATATACAAATATATATTTTTTATATAGTAATATATACTATTACACTATTTTATAAATACTTAGAACTCAGTTGAATTAAAGTAAATGATGTGGGGAAACATATACACTATATATCTACAGAATCGAAAAAATGATGAAGCATCTTACGAGAAGATGCTTAAGCTGCGTCGAGATCTGAGTCGTGCAGTAACCATACTGGAGATGATAAAGAGGAGGGAAAAAAGCAAGAGAGAGTTGCTGCATTTAACACTGGAAATTATGGAAAAGAGGTAATGTTTATGGAAAATTTGCTGCAGAAAGCTTTGGAAAGTACTTTGTATTCCAATTCCCACAATTCCCAATACTTAAGAGTGAGATTTTTTTTTTTTTAAATAAGTATTTAGATTAGACTCTCTTCACATCTACAGGATGGATAGCATGTCTTCATATATGGCTATGGAGAGCAACATAAAAAGTTAGCAAGTTGCTTGTTATGGGAAAGTGACCTATCATGCATACTGTTTTATTACACATGTGCATGTATTCAAATGTATGTCTATATCCTATATATTGCACAGGGAAGAGAGATCATAGTTTCAGGTAAATTCATTTGGAAACTTGTGTTAAATTTAAGTGCATAGATTAAGGAAATCCCACCTAGCTTTAAGGCCATTTCCAGTCATTACCATTCTTTTTCTTCGTTATTGCTGTTCTTTTTTAGCAAACCGTGATCTAATACCCTCTTGAGGAAAACAAATAAGCATTTCATACAGTGTAACATGTTGTTCTGTGATTCATCTCCAACCAGTGCTTCTTTTGACATCCTGTTTGTCAGCTGTGCTGAAGACCAAATGCTCTGCTTTGTCAGCTGTCACTTTCCAAACCAACCGAGAATCACATTTGCAATGTGGCGTTGTTCTTTAGGTTGATACTTAAAATCTGAGTAGACTTCTCTAGTTTAAGCATCTGTGTTTGAAAACAAATGTTTTGAGTCAGCATTTTAAAGCTCTAAAACTAACTTTTTAGTCTGGTTTCTTAGGAAGACAAGTTGAATGTCATTCTGCCCTTTCTACCAGGGGTGCTTTTTTCAAATACTGACCGTTTTCAGTAGAAATAGGGGAGACGTTGCAAAGAATTTCCAGTAAATTTTTCAAGAAAATAAGCTGTTGAATAGAGGAAAGAATGGAAAAATTGCACTTCAGCTCAGCACTTTTCACAGGACTTCAGATGTTACACGTTTCATGGATCTGCTTGTTGTGAAACTATTACATAACACACGAGGAGGATTCATGAATAAGGCACTCTCCCTCACTGTTTAAAACCTTTTGAGTGATAATTGTATTGTTTCTGTTACTTTCCTTTCATTATGTTTTGAAGATGGTTTACAGGCTTTACAGGGTAGTTATCCTTTTATTTACTTGTCAGCATTAGTCGTTGCAATGGAGTTCCCATGTTACTAATCCCCTTTTCTGGAGCAATGCTTTCTGTACTTCTTGCTGTCATCCTGGGCATCCCTTTACCCCAAGTTGCAAGTATTGGTCTGTGTTTCTTGGTGTTCTGCATTTATTTACAGACATACATTGTAAAAATTCCAACAAATTTAAAGAAAATAATATTCTGATTTCAGGTATAATTTGGGTGACTACAGTGGAGAGATCATGTCTGAGGTCATGGCACAACGGCAGCTGATTAAACCTACCTATGCTATTCCCATCATTCCTGTGACTAACAGCAGTCCTTTTAAACACCAAGAAGCTATGGAGCTGAAAGAATTTAAAGTTAAAGTGAGTAAAGTCAGTTAACAGAGTTTCTAGTTCATGCTGTTACATATGTAAGATACAGAATTTTAGGATGGGTTGAGGGAGGGAGCTGAAACTGGAAGTAGACTAGCAAAGCTGCAATTGGAATAAAATGCTGTGTTCTGTTGGAATTATGAGGATAACATTCAGACTACTGGCATTCCTCAAGGCGGAAATAAAGGAAGTATAGATGACTACAGACAAAAGGACACATGCGACTGTATTCTTATTCTGGGTGATATGAACATTTTTCTCCAATAGTGTCCATAAAGTTAGGATAACCTGTACAAAACTGTATTTACTACCTAGATATGGGTTTTACCTCGTTAGTCATACCTTTGTCCAATATCTTATTCTAAACTCATGTAGTTATTTTAATCTGGATGGGGTTTTTTTGTTTGTTTTTAAAAATGTTTCACTCATATTCCCAGCATGCTTTGTATCTTTGTGTGGTTTTGTATTTAAGTAAAGTATCAAATAACCTTACTTTAGAAAGCTGACCAGCACTTTTTTTCCTGCAGGCCTTAATTTTGTTTCATACAAAGCATAGCTACAGTGCCAACAACTGAACGTATTAAATAGGTCAGGTAACACAGGAGAAATGCTAAGGTATAATTTGAATTTTAAACAAAGACTTCTTAGAAGGAAGTCCAAAGTCTGTTCTGAATCTGACAAGGTGGCTTGAATCGGTGAATACTTCCCTTGATAGCAGAGCACTGTAATTGAGATTGCTGGAGTGTACTTACCTATTAGTGATGTTGGGTCAATGCAGTGTTTTGCAGCTTGAAAGAAACCTGTTTCTTGGAAACTTGGGAAATTCATTTAAGCTTGACTTTGCAAGTGTGTTTAAATTTTAGAGGATTTTCTGAGATTCTAGGTATCTTTGAGAAGTCTGGTTTTTTTCCTTTAAAACATTCTTTGGGACTTAGTAATAATGCTGCATAAATGCCTACTAATTTAAAAAGTCAGAAAATAAAAAAGGTGTGTCAGTGGAGATAAAACACTAGCAGTCAAGATAACAGTACTATTTTGGAGAAGTAGACCAAAATGTATAAAATTATCTAGCACAGATTTGAGCAAACAGTGACTGCTTCCACCTCATCTATTAAACTTTTTAATTACTAGAAATGAAATACAAATATTCATAAAACAACTACATGTTTTGCTGTCAGGATGGTGGAGAGATGAGTTCACTTTTTAGCTTGCTTACACAGGAGTTTTCTAAAACATTTTCTGAAGTTTTCTAAAACTCCAGTTTTAATCTAACTTGCTTGTGTGTGTAATTTTACCCTCCTTTTTCTTTTCTCTTGCAGCAAGATAAACCTGATGTTATTAGACCCAAAAGAAAGTATGAGAAGAAGCCAAAAGTCTTACCTTCTGCTGCTGCTGCTCCTCAACAGACAAGTCCTGCTGCACTGCCAGTCTTTAATGCTAAAGATTTGAATCAGTATGACTTTCCTAGCTCAGATGAAGAACCTCTCTCCCAGGTAGGACCTCTAGAGTTCTGTGCTGCTTTTGGGGAAAGAAGTAAAAATCGTTAATTTACCAGTATCTCTCCTCATGCACCCTTTATCCCCTCTTTAAAGGTTTTGTCTGGTTCTTCGGAGGCTGAGGAGGAGAATGATCCCGATGGTCCTTTCGCCTTCCGTAGGAAAGCAGGCTGTCAGTACTATGCTGTAAGTAGAATTCCCTTATGTATCATGAGATAGAGCATCATTACAGGAAAATATCTTGTGTTTAATTGTTTAAAATTATTTTAAGCCTCATTTAGACCAACCTGGCAACTGGCCATGGAGTAGCCCTAAAGAGGGAAGATTAGGAGATGTGCGTTACAGATACTGCTTAACCACCCTCACTGTACCACAGAGGTGTATTGGGTTTGCACGAAGACGGGTCGGCCGTGGTGGAAGGTAAGTGCTACATAATTGCTACTGGTTTTAAAAATTTAAAACCAAAAATATTGGACATAAAGAGCAAAGTTAAAAAAACCCAGAACCTCAAAAATGGAGACATCAGAGAGATTGACTTTTTAAATACTTCCATTTGATACAAGTTTCCTTAGCTGGTTAATGTCTCCATTTTTATTTTGTGATAGTGAAAGCCTCTTTAATACTGTTTTCTTAAATGTTTCTAGGGGCTTTTGTTGCTGGCACTCCCAAGTTCTGAGGTGAAAATAAATGTATGGTTTCAGTTGTGATTGGTGGTTTGTATTTAAATGATTTGCATAGTTGTCTTCAAATAGTAGTCTTTAAAAATAGCAAAATTTTTTTGGAAAAAGCTTTTCTTGGTTTGGTCCATACTTGGTGATTTGCTAGTTGTAGAGGAGAATTTTGGGGGAATACTTATAAGTGACAATAACTTACATTTCAGACATTGTCAGAAATAGCAAAGAGTTAAGGACTTCAGGCATTCTGATTCTAAGCACCTTTATCAAAAGCTACTTATAAATGGTTAGTTACTTAAGCAATTTTATTTTACTCTCTAGGTTTTTTTTCTTTGCATTGTGGAACTCCATTGTCCAGCCTGATGATTTTTTAAAAAAAAAAAAAAAAAAAAATTTAAAATTATATGTTGTTGCAGTGTCTTAATATATACATGATGATGTACATCAGCTGTTCAAACAGTAGAAGCTAGAATATACATGTGAAGAGAAACCTCAGTGTACTATTTACTGTAAAATCATATATGGTCATGCATTGTGTTTGGGGGGAGGGCTGCTTGTTCTAGAACAACTTTGTCTAGTTTATTCTATCCCTTTGTTGTCCTCAAGCACACATGGCAAGCTGGTGACTTTATTGGTATTTTCTTGTCACTGTGTAATTCTGCATTCTTTTCCTGTTTTTAGGGTGCTACTAGACAGAGCGCATTCGGACTACGATAATACATTTCATCAGCTGGATTTGGAAATGTTTTCCTCATCACAACACTCCTCAATCAGTCAATTTGCCAATACCTCAGAAACAAATACCTCGTCGGACAAATCTTTCTCAAAAGACCTCAGTCAGATACTAGTCAATATCAAATCATGTAGATGGCGGCATTTTAGGCCTCGGACACCATCCCTACATGACAGTGACAATGATGAACTCTCCTGTAGGAAATTATACAGGGGTATAAATCGAACAGGCACAGCACAACCCGGGACCCAGACATGCAGTACCTCTATACAAAGTAAAAGTAGCAGTGGTTCAGCACATCTTGGTATGTTTATTTTGAGAAACTTGCTTCTAGAAATTTTAAACTTGACTCAGAAAGTCCAGAATATTATTAGGTCATCAATACTTCCCATCATGGTCTATTTTGATGGTAACAGCCCACTTTCACTTTTATCTCTTTATTTGCTACATAGATGTTTATTTGTATTTATTGCTAGCAGTAGTGTACTGCATCTCAAATTCATGCAAATGCTACCTTGGTATGTAATTACAGTTACAGAAATAGGAGGGTTTAGAAACCAGTATTGTGTAGAATTTAAGTTGACTCTCAAGATCTGAATTTTTAAAATTGAAAATATGTTGATTGAAATGCTGATATAAATATCAAGTTCCTAACTTTTTCTAACACAAGGTGTGGTAGTGGTGGGAAATGTTTAGTTAAAATGTTTGTATTTAAAATCCCGGCATGTTATGAATTCTTATTTGAACTTGCATGAAATCAAATGCCATTTCCCATCCAAAAAATACCCAGCCTACACCCAGTGATGCATCTGCTCATGCTTGGCAGAACTTGGACTAATCACCTCTACATCTTGTCAGCAAGTGGCAGATTACATCTTACAGAACCTGAATTACAGAATTGAGGACTTGACTCGAAAAGAAAACTTGATGTGGTGTTAATTGTTTTTTAATTGGAATACTGTTGGATAGCATCACTCCTTATATTGGGTTCTTCACACTGGAAGGCTGGTATTTATGTAGTTAGAATGTAACTTAAATAACTCTTGGATTTTGATCAGCCAGTACATTAAATGTCATCTTTTTATAGAAGGTAAAGTGACGTAGGTTTTTTACAAAGAAATAACTTTAAAAGTTCACCGTTTTGTAAGGACTCTCTAGAATCATGTTTTCTTTGCCTTTTTGAATTATGGCTTTAGAAACAAATTAGAAAACCTGGATCATGTAGGAGTGGGTTAGGGAGAGATGGGTATGCCTAATAAACTCCCCGGATTGTGGGATGTTTTGGAGATTTGCTCAGTGTTGCCCTGGTATCAGATTACTTCAATTATCCTGGTTTCCAATGTATTTTTTACCTTTCCTTCCTGTACCACCTGGGGTGTGTTTTCTGAAAATTCTTCCTCCTTGCATTTTTAGACTTAGTGGGCAGCTTTGTTCTGCTGATTTATCTCATGCTTCTCTCCATGCTGTCCTAGAGTAGGTCCTTGCCCACATTCCAGTTCTTTTCTCTTCTACAAACTCTTCTGGCTGGAAACTTACTAGTCCTAGAACTGATGGTTCTTCTGGTTTCTGATCTAAGTACGGCTTTTGATGTTTAAATTCTGCCCCTCCAGTGTTTCAAATCAGTAAAGTCTGGAACAGAATAAGAGCATCCTCTGTCTAGTAGCCAGTCTGAACTGTGATAAAACCATTAGAAGTGTGTGGGGGGGAATAACACAGACTTGAAAAATTGGCTGATTTGAGTTTAAAGCATATGCCTTTATGTGTATATAAATAAACACACACCCCTACAGACTTTTTTTCCTTAAATAGAAGATTAAGATATTTATCTGCATCATTTAGGAATTAAATGCAATTGTTTTTTATGGTGATGGGTTCTGTACAAGGTTTTACTTGTGTGGTTGCATTTTGAATCCTATGGGAAAGTAATACATACATATAGTACCTGGCATGTTACACTTATTTTTGTGCTTGGAATTCCATGCAGATGGTTTATCATCTGTATAAAATATTTAAGTTAGTATTCTGAGCTTTTCCAAATTTAAATGTTGTAGAGTTTAGATTCATATTTTTATTAGGCTTTTATACAGGAATGAAATAATAATTAAAAAAACCCTATGTCTGAATTTATAGATATAATTTACATTAGTTATCACAGTCTTTGGATAATCACTTGTTATTAATATAACTAGGTAGATTGTACCCATATAATTAATTATGATCTTAATTGGGATTCTTGTAGTATTAGAGGTGTATATGAATTTGTGTGTATGTGGTGTAATGATGATAATCTGCTTAGGTGTAGATGTTTGCAAGGAGCATACAGTCTAGTTCATCTTGTTGCTGTTCTGTTCTCTAGTGTTCTCTTTTCAGTTTCTTGAATGATTCTTTAATATACGTTGTCTACACAGAATACAGGTGTGTTTGTATGTCTCGGATGTATGAGTTTGACTTCTTCAAAGGTGCAGGTTGGTTGGGGCTGCAGCTACTGAGTTATGTAGTCTTACTTTCTGTGGCAAATACTGTAAAAAAAAAAAAAAAAAACCATCAGGTATCTAACATCTGTACTAAAGCTTTTCTAGTAGTCACTACTGCAGATTTGCAACCCTATACAGTGTCCGTGTTCCATTTTCTAGCTGCCTTTAAAGCTGTGCATTTGTTGTGAGCGTGGATTTTTTTAGGTTTATTTCTCTTTGTCTCTTAGGTTTTTGAAGCGGCAGTAGGTCTTTTTACCAGAAAATAACTTCTTAATGCATCTCTCTCTTTAAAAATCCTTTTATCCTTTTATCCTTTTGCTGCTACTGTGAATTGTGATAAAACCATATTGCTTATGTTCAAGATTAAGCTCATCCTGTGATTCTGTAGTGGCCAGCAGAGATGATCATATTGCTGTGTTTATTTTGCAATTTCACATGATAAGGTTTTTCTGTTTCCATATTAAAGAAGTTTAGAGAAGTCGTGCACGTTTTCCACTTTGAATGATTCAGGCAACATGCTGCTGACATACAAAAATTCCCATGGAAAACCTTGCCTTTCAAGTCTGTTGTATGTGGCCAGCACAGGCATGAAGTTGAGACGGTATCTCAGGTCTTCTGTTAATCAGAGACGTGTTACAAAAGCTGTGCTGTGACATACCATTCTCTGACTACAGGAAGCATTGTTTTTCATCCTGAAGATCGGAGAGAGGTTTTACCCAAAGAGCCAGGCGTCTTTATAAAAGTTTTGAAGTGCCTTTGACCCTGAAGAAATGCAACTTAGCTTTCAGAGCACTCAGCGTAAAAGATCTGTGGAAGATGAAGTTGTTGCATTGAGATTTTGTGTGTAAAGGCATGTCTCTTAAAAACAAACAAAACAACCCCTTACAAGCTGCTTGAAAACTGGGCTTGTACTGGACTTGTCGTGTGCTGAAGGGTAGACTTTGGCAGCAGGATCAAGTGGCCAAGAAAAGTAGTGTCATTTTTGAAGAGGGTGGTGCCTTTTCATCTTACTGAAGAATTTTGAAGAAGCATCCTTTGCCCTGAGCTGATTCAAGGATCTTCAGGCATGTGTTATACAGAACACCACTGAAAATCAGGCAAGGGTGTAAAAGCATGGTTCTTGTGGGGGAGTAACTTGTTCAGTGGGAAAGCCATTCCCTCCGAACAAAATACAACAAAATTACTTCAGAAAAGAAGCGTATATTGCTCGCTGTCTCACAAGTTTCTGAATCATAATCTTCAGAGGTGGAGCTTGTGTCTTAAGTCTGGACTGTACAGTAGGCATGAACATTCATCTGAAGTATTTGTGTCCCAGGAATTTAGTCTTTCTTTTATAATAATTGATTGATCTAGTTCTGCCAGGCAAATGGTAGTCTTTGAACTGCATCACATTACAGAGACTGTGCCTTCTGCTGGAGACTTGCTGTTAAATATGTTACATTCATATTTTCGAACGCTTGCATCTAATAATCAGAAGTTTAAGACATTTAAAACTGTACAGCATGTATAGTTCTGTTGCAGCCTTGTGTTTAGGAGGCAGACGAGAGATACCGGTCACCGCTGAAAGATTTGAGCGATGGTTCCCAGGCTCTACAGTAGGACCAGGCAACTGTCTTGCATTCTGTTCTTTTCTGCCTTCATCCAGAAGCTTGGTCACTTTGAAAGGAAAATCTGCAAGCTGTCGAGACTAAAGAGGCTAGCAGTTAACCAGAGTCTACTCACTAAACTTGTAATTCTTTCTTTGAGAAGAAGCTAAAGTATTCTGGCGGAAGCCTTACTGACTTACAGTTATGATGTAGACCTTACTGTACATGAAAAACTCCAGGCATCCAGAATATAGTTAAAGAATCCAGAGTAGCTTACCTTGCATTTTCTTGTAAACTAGAGATTTAGATGATGTGCTGCAAGTTGTGCTTTGCTATTCAGTAACTTTTTCTGTGGGAATTCCATAGAAATAACATTTTTCCGAGTAAACCTGGATACTTCTTTTGCATCTCTTAACCTGCTTTTAAAAGCAAGTTTGCACACTTAGGGGGTCTAGCAGGATGGTGAACTATGCTTCTATTTCCAAAATATGTTTAGCATTTCCATCTCCAAATTTGTAGTGTTGATTGATGGATCTATGCTATACCATTTTTTTTGTGTTTTCATTAAGAATTCCTGACACCCATCTTCAGGCACCCCTTTCCCAGAAGGAAGTAGGAGGAAGCTCCTCAAGCCTTGTGGCAGTTCCTTGCACCAGAGTAGAAGGACTTGTCCTACCTTTCCATGCCTTCATGCCATCGCTGGCTGTGTTTAGATCTTTTTATTTAACCCTCATATCTGAAATTGTCTCAACACTGCTGTCTTACCGTTTTCCCTTTTCCAAATGCTTATTTTCACATTGCAGGATAAACTTGGTCATGAAAAATACTGATGTTTGTAATGGCCATTTTCAGTTACCGTTGTAACTTAAGAGTCTTGGCCCATCTGTGGCTGAGATGTTGAGATCCTAATTGAAGAAGCAATGGCCTTGGGAGTAACATGTTTATAGCCCACCTTTGGCTTAGTTGTAGGAGGAAATCTTAAAAGGAAAAGCCTCTTTAATCCGGGAAATGTGACTGGGGATGGGGGAAGAGTTAACACTTACTAAAAAAACCCAAGCACTTCTGGAGACTTAGAGACTTTGTAGTTACACTAGACGTTCTCATTCAGCTTTAACCCAGTTGGAGTAATACTTTGCTCCAAAGTGCTGGATCTTTGGGCTTATGTAAACTGTTACACTTTGTCTGCATCCCATGCAAGGATGGTCATGTTTATAACTGCGGAGTAGACGGTGTGTACCCCAACTGGCCTGTGGTGTTTCAGTGGGCAGACAAATATAAATGCATAGCAAGCATTTCTAGCTTTCATTCAATGGCTAGTAAAAATCCTCATTAATTATTTTCTGTCTGTTTTTCTTCCACTATTAAGTAGGGAGTGCATATATAGATCTTGTATCTGGTTTATAATTTCTAAGTCTAGAGTTCTGATGTTAGGAATTTCACGCTTAAGTTCTGTTGGGCTGAAATATAAGGCTGTTGTAGTAATAATCAAGGGCATAATGATTCATGTTCTCATAGTGTCTAATAATGCCATGTTTAAGTAAAATCAATCTTGAACTTCTTTTCAGAAAGTGAAACATCTTTGGGCCTGGTGCATCAAATACTAAATCACACTGATGGCTCTAAGTCTCTCCAATCTTCCGAATTCACTGGTGAGAACTTGCTATACAGTAGAAAATCTTTAACCAGGCAATGTAAGCCAGATAACATCTCTTGTAAGATAGAGATTAAAAATGTGGTATTCTGGATTACTGAGTATTGTGAATGATGTTTGCTTTGCATGCACTTTGGCATTAGTAACCACTAATTGTTCTCTTATACAGCAGGGATGCAATGCTCTCATATATTTCCCTTAAGAAACATTGTAACATGATATATCACCTTTCCACCGGCTTTAGCAGTTCTGTAGTTCATGGGATTTCTCAGTTGGAAGCTTTAGTTACGTCATCTTTCTTCTGTTACCTGGTCAAAACTGCCTTTTTAATGGCCATCACCTCAGCTGGAAGGATCAGGGAATCCAGTACTCTGAATGGATTTTTAGAGGGGTTCTTTGAACCCAATATAATCCTAATGCTTCCATTTTCCTACTGAAATAACATTTCTGCTTGTGAGAACAGATCCTTAACTTGGTATTACGAAGCAAGTGCTTTAAGTTACTCTAATTTAAATACCTAACTCTTTAGATGTTTAACAGGACTGAAGCATTTGCTGAAAGGTTTAAGCTGTTTGAGTCCCTCGGTATTAAATTTTTTTAAACTTTTTTTTTAAAAAAACACGCTTACCTGGATAGGCCATTGTGTTTACTCTGTAAAGCTTGCTCAGTTACCCTGGCAAATCTAGTGAGTATCTAGCATTCCTTTTCACTTCCTGAATGGAAGTAGAGGGACCGGGAGTTTACACGTGCATTTTCTGCTTTCTAGAATATGCTTCCTGGTTTTTAGGAAACTGGTTCTTGTGGTCAAATTTTTTGTAAATCTGTATTCTCCTACTTCAGGGAAGCAGGGTGAAAACTAGTGAGTCACCTCACAGTAAAACTTGCAGAAATAGTCAGGAGGGGAGGCTCTGGCTGTTTACCATACAAACACTGATAGCTAGGCCCCTTCCTCACTGGTCTCGGCCGCTTCTGGGAAGGACTTGCATTTTCAGAGAAGCTAAATGTAAGCCACGGCATTGTAAAGCTAGTACACAGTAAACGTTGTGGTAAAACTAGTTAGCACTGTAAAAATGGTTTTCTATTGCAATATAAAACTGAGAACTATGGATCTTCAAGAAGTCTGACAGCATCACTGTTACTCTGCTCCAGAAAACACCACCTGCTGAGTATCGGCATCCCACAGAACTTGGTAGATATGTAAACAGAATCATCCAACTGAAAGATATTATTCAATGGCTTAATTTGAGCAAAAAAATGCCATGTAATTATCTCAGAGATTACAGATGTCTTGATTATAGTCATGTAAATGATCGTAGGAAAACATATTCAGTGTAGTGTGTTGTTAAAAAATTGAGTTACAGCACAAGATTTGTGGCTGTCGCTAAGGAGATAAAGGAGTCATTTATCCTGTCAGTCAGTCTCAGTAATGTACAATGTTTCTTTTCTTGTGTTCATAGCTGCAAACTCCTGAAGCTTTTTCTTCTACCTTCCATTCCTTTTTGCAATCTAAGCCAGAAAACATTTCTCTTGCTTGTTGCCAAAGTATAGCACTAATACAGTTGCAGAATAGGTGCGTGCATTGTCCCAAGCTGTTAAATGAAGAGGGTTAACAGCATAACGTGATGTACTGACTTAAAATCCCAAATGTTGTCTCAACTGAAATGTTGTAACTTGGAATTCTACCAGAAACAATTCAGAAACATACTGAGTTTTAATTGTTGCAATTCAGAAGAGTATGCTGCAAACAAACAAGAAAGAATCATTTATGCAGCCTAGTCTCTCAGTAAAACTTCAGCTACCCATCTTCTGACAACCATCTCGAGATGTGGCTAACTGCTGGCAGGGTTGTGCCTTACAGGTTCCTAGTGTTTAAGGTTAGGAAAGGAGTTGGATTAGGTTAATTTAAGGAGTCAGGTGACTTGCATAGATTACCTAAAGTTTAGGAATCGCAGAGTGGCAAGGGTTGGAAGGGACCTCAGGAGATCATCTAGTCTAAACCTCCTGCTAAAGCAGGTTCACCTAGAGCAGGTTGCACAGGACATCATCTAGGTGGGTTTTGAATATCTCTAGAGAAGGAGACTCCACAACCCTATGTATGTATGTAGAAGTTTCGGGGGAAGGTACAGTTGTAAGCCATGAAAGGCAGTTGAGATATTCTGAAACGTTCTTACTTACAGTGTATCAGTAGTGGTGGTTGAGATATTCCCACCTCAAGCCCTCAGTGAATTCTGTGTAGTGGATGAAGCTGGATGTTCTGTTACTGTCCAATTCAGTAAATTCTGTAGTATTAAATAGTCATTACTGTATGATGGAACCACGACCACTGTGACCCTAGCATGCTGTTGAGAAATACTGCGCTCCTGTCTAGGGCTGCTGAAGAAAGAAGCTGTTTTAAAATCTCACATGTTGTCTCTAGCATTGAATGTTATGTTTTTGTCTCTTTTTAACTTGAAGCTGTTGTTCAGTTGTCTGTTGCTTTACTAATTTTTTTTAAAGCCTTGAAGGTCTCCGCTAATACGAGGAATACATAACTTTGTGTAGCAGTACTCTTCTGAGTTACTAGAAATGTGGTTGCTGATTTAAGTGTAGAGAAAAGGCCCGGGCTTCCTTCTTGCCTGCTGCGTTTTTTTCCAGGCAGATAAAGACCAGTGTATGATACAAAAGAAGATGACATTAATTTTTGCTGCTTCTACATTTACCATTTTTCTCTAAGACAGATGAAAGATTTTTCAGTAGTGCCCTTCTCTCTCCTTCAGAATAAAAATAAGAAGAGGTAATAAAATTCCTGGAAGAAAATTCTTAGGGACACTGTAACTGCTTTTCTACAGACAGTGATGTTAAGAAGATGTTAAGTTTGGCACCTGTGCAACTGCATCTATGCCAGCTTTGCAGGCGAGAAAAAAATAATCTCTGCAAGCCGTATAGTTAACCCAGCTACGTTGTTACGGTCTGCAATGCATTCTACTTGAACTGCTTTTTAAAGGCGACAGCTGAATTTACACTAGTTCTTTGAGAAGTTTAGGACCATGCCTGCAGATGTAGAGGCACAGTCAGTCAGTCTACGCCCGTGATTTCACTGTGCTTGAGCACATGTGTGATTTCCCCAAGAAAGCCTTCCCCAATTCCAGTCACAGTTATGTACCCCAGAAGATGAATATGTAAGGTTAAACAGGTGGAAGTACTGTCATGTAAAGTACAAACACTTCTTGTGCATGGGAGTGGTAGTTTTTAGAAGCAACTTCTATCTCGCAGTCAGTAGGCTTATTTTTTTCAATTGAAGTGTAATATAGACTGAGAGCAGGAGGGGAAGAAACCTACTGATGGTGTTAGTGAGCAAAAATACATGGTGGCTTTTAATAGAAGAGGAATAAAGTATACTATCCTAGTTTGCAGGTCTTCAAAAGAAGTAATGATTAATTTTGGTTTGGATAGTGTTCAGTAAAACCGTCAACATAGTACTTATTTAGTGTGGAGAGGGAAGAGCTAGCTTATATAGTTATGATCCATAACCTCTTCTGGTACTTGAGCATGTCTCGATATGCTGTGGAATGGAGAAGAAACATTGATCAGATTATTTTAGGAGGCTGTAGTTTGCATCAGTCCTTTATGGGCAGTGTTGTGTTTCTAAACTGGATGCAACTCATTAATTCAGAATCTCACAGTAAATCTCTGGTAGTGTTGTAAATAGTATTTTGAAATGTGTAGTAGGCTTTTACCTTTAATACGGGAAGCAGCAAAAACTTCACTGAATGTTTTAACCTAAATTGAAAAACCTGAAATAAATTGTTCTTGAGTGTATTTTCAGATATGACTGGTAAATAGCCATTTCTATAGCATTTTCAAGGCAGTATTTGTTAAGTATGTTAGGATATTTGAGCAGCAGTAAGAGAAGCAGTTTGACTATAGATGAGGGTGGTGGTCATAGTGGGGTTCCTCTGTCACTTGTTTACAGCTGTATAGCTGTTTTCATAGTGGTGGGAAACTTACAGCTGTAAGGGTGGCAGACTACTTAAATATACCAATGCACAGTTTGAAAAATAGAATTCTTCTAAATATTGCTTCTGGAAAGAAGGGGGAACACTTCAAGACTGTCCTAAATAATGGCTACCCTAAGCAAACACAGCATGTCTCAATAAACTGTATTTACTGTTATTCTCCAAAAGAAAATATTTTGGAGTTGGTTAAACCAACATAGGTGACTGTGCTTACTACAAATCTATTTTATAGCTAAAATCTAAAATATACATAAGTTAGTTTCAGCTTTCAAGTCTTAAGTTTACTTACTGGAATGGACAAAAGTGAGATGGTTATGATGGTAGAAACTTTAATTTGGTTGAAGATGGTGGTGTAACGTATCCCCTTTGCCCATTTTCCTCTTTGTCAGCCTGCAAGTTGTCTTTATTACATCACTTACACAACCTATTCCTAAGCAGTATGTTTACAGTGTCATACTGTAGAATAAAATAACCTTACTAATACGTGGAACTTTCAATATCATTGGCAGTATGTTGGCTAAACCATACCGATTCCAAATTTTAGTGTTTTTAAAAAAACAGTAAGTCACTACTAACTGATCAGTATAAATGACGTATCTATCAGTACCAGAACAGTATATCCATTTTTCTCCCTCTGCTGCTGCTACTCAGCTTTCTACGTGCTAATATTTGTGTTCTAAAGCTTTCTTGCTCTAACTTCTGTGTTTGGTGACAGTTTAAAAAATCTAAAGGGGTTTTAGTTTATATAAAGTAGAATTAAACTTTAAACAGTGAAATCCTGAATATTTGGTCTATGATTTCTAGTTTGGGTTTGTGGGGTTTTTGTTTTGTTTTGTTTTTTTAGTAAGGGCATTTATGAATGGTGTTACTACTAAGCTATTCTCCTAGGAATAACTTTAAAACATTGAAGAAATTGAAGCAAGTTGAAGTGAGGTTTAACTATAAGAGTATTGGGAAGTAGTTTGTCACTTACGGCAATATAGACGAGTGCTACATCCCTACTTGCTAAAGCATGTTAGTTAAAAAAAACAGTAACTTTAATGTAACAGCTGAATAAAAATTTATAACTTCAAGTGCTCAGATAGCAAAGTGCTGGTAATAATTTAGTGATATTTCCAGTACATAATAGTAAGACTTGGAGCAAAGTTTAAAAAAAACCCAACAAACTAAAACAAACAAAAAACCCCACAAATACACTGGAAAAATGCATGCTCAGTGGTGTTTTCTCTGGTTGTTTCCAAATATTAATTCTTTCTTTGGTTAGCCATTTGTATGGACTTGTTATTCAAGTTTATACATAAGGTTACAATTGCTGTTCAGAACCCTGTTGTATCCAGAAGCAGGAGATGGTTATAGTTTTGAGAGAAACAGATTTTATTCAGGCAAGCAAGCCTGAAGGAGTAATTAAAAAAAAAAAAAAAGTAAAAATTGCAATTTGTGAACAGTATTCAAGTGTGGTGGTGATTTGTTGCCAAACAGTAGAGAACTGCCCTAAAGGTGCAACTTCTGCTGTGTTCTAGAATACGGATGCTATTTACTTCACTTACGGAGCATCTGTACAATCTGAAGATAAAACTGAAGGAAAAATCTGAAAGGTGTATCCTAGACTGAGTTTTGGAAGGGGATTCACATTCCAGCCTTGATTCGGTTTTAAATTAAAACCTGAGGCTTCCTTTCATTTTGAAAATGTAAATTGAAAAAAAAAAAAAAAAAACAAAACCAAAATGTTAGGTTGTTTGGTGGTTTTTTTTATGAAGTTAGTTAATGAACTAATGACTCCCCAGCCCTGCACTGTTGGGCATCCCCTTGTTAATCTGTACAAATAATGCTGTTTTTATCAATTTTATACTTGTGGGCTAGCTGGATAAAATTCTAGTTGACTTGTGATGCACTGACTACAGGGTCAGCTTTCACAGATCTTAGAGAGAAGGAATGTATTTCTATCAAATTCTGTATTGATGGAGTTCCTTGTACATGCGTGATTAAAAACAGCAAAAATACTCTACTAGAAAGCCTGCAGAGTTGTAAGCATGCCCAACTTAATTTTTTCAACGAAAATATGAATCTTAATTGTAGGTACTCGCTACCTTTAAAATGCTATGAGTGAGGGCTGAAAGCATGCAGTTACTGAGTTTTGTGTATAAGCATACTTTACTAAAATTGCAGATACTGTAGTTTCACAAAGTGAAAACAGTTATGCCATTTCTACCTGTAACTTGTTTTTAATCATTTATTAGAGTTTTTGGTGGCTTTGATTGTGGTTTTAGTTCCCTCATATCTTCCCTTTTTGGTATCTTGAGCTAAATGCAGCAGAGCAATTAAAGCCTGTATACTAAGAAACAGCTTTAAGGGAAGGCTTAATTTGAAAAAAAAAAAATTCTGGGAGGATGATAGCCTTTTTGCCATAAAGGTGCACTAAGGCACTTAGGAACTTGCTGTGGTGTGGTGGTTTTTTGTTTGTTTGCTTTGGGGGTTTTTTTAGGATTATAAAATAGATGTGTTTATATACACAACACCTACATATTTTGATATAGTATTTTCTCGTTTTATATTTTGTTCAGCATTTACAGCCGAACAATACCAGCAACATCAACAGCAACTGGCACTAATGCAGAAACAGCAGCTTGCACAAATTCATCAACAGCAAGCAAATAGTAATTCCTCTGCCAACACATCACAGGTGAGGGATTTGTCTGTGCTATGATTTATCCCTCATTGTTTCCCACCAGGGTTCATCTCTAATTGTCAACTGTTGCCATAGAACCTTGAAACTAACCAACAGGAAAGTGGCTTTCGCCTGAATCTACATCATAGCCATTCTGTAAAGTGTTTAGAAGGGACACTGCAGGTGAGTGTGGCAGGCATTGCCTCTGCTCCCTCTTAACAAAAAAAAGATGGGTCAGTCAATTAATGAAATTTTCAAAGCCTTAGGAATATGAATTGCAGAGATCTCCAGCCATGTCATTATCCTCTTGATAGTGGGGGATTGTTAGAGCAGGATTTTTAGTTAAGAACTAAAGCTAACTCCTAAATATGTCCTCCATACAGCTGTGGAAGTGTCTTATACTCACAAATGTGTAGTGTTTAC